AAGGGGGGGGGGGGGGGGAGAATTTGCTCTTACTCCTGCCTCCAGTTTCTGCTCATCTTATTTGCCAAAGACCAAGTGAGACACGTCCCTGGTGAGTCCAACCCCCACGTGAGGAGCAGCAGTTCTGACCCCAGGGCTCGGTGGGGCAGAAGCGTGACCACAAACCTCACTTTGTGGAAGGTGAGGATGGGAGTTGGAAATCTGGGAAGAGGTGACCACACTTTGACATGGCTTGGGCACCTGGACAGCACAGGGAATGTGGAGATCATGGAGGATGCCTGTGCTCTCACCACTTCAGCTGTTTAAAGAAGCAGGAGAAAACCATTAGAGATAAATACCAAATGTGGTGTGAACACACTGAGATGACACAGAAAACCATTTGACCACCTAAAATACAGAGCCAGCATCGAAGGGTTCCAGATGAATCCCCCCTGACTCCCAACATGTCTCAGAATATCAGTCTGAAGCAAGAGACTTCCCAAGTTTGACCCCGTGGGCACCCCCTGTCCCACCGGTGCAAAGCAGCAGAGAATGGAGGGAAGATACCAAGCGCTGGCTCTTCTCTTCTGCTCCTAGAAACAAGAAAGCCAAGATCGAGCTGAAATAATAGTGACAGCTTCCTACAGTCTTATGTCTTTTGATTTTTAGACACATGGGAAAGCTGAGGGAACAAGACCTTTGGGATAATAAGTGATGCCTAGATACCATATATGAGAGAAGAGGCCAGGTGGGATGCTAAAGCGCTCAACATGGCTCCTTCCAGAAGAAACACACATGTATATATTCACTTAAAACACGGTGAATGTCCTCAAGCCAACACTCTGAGACCACTTTCAAAAAACCCAGCAGCATAAAGAATTGTCCATAAGAAAAATAACGTCATCACTCCCTCTGCAAAGCCTCAAGAACGGGACAAGATGGGCTTTACGACGTTTGGCTCAAACCCCCGTGCTCTGCTGCACTGGACACGGGCGTCACGTTCACCTGCTGATCCCGCCTGCTGTAACGCTCACAAGGTGCTGATTTTGCTCCTGGAAATGTAATCTCTCTCAAGGACTCTAAATTCTGGTTGTGAAGATGTTTTATACACAAGATATTGGCAAAGGCACATTTCTAGCCTCTTGGCACGCAACCCTCAAGAGTAATAGGGGTCATATTCTACCCCCAAACCCCACCTCCAGGTAACTCACAGCTGGGAAGCAGAGTCCTCTCTCGTCCCGTGTAGCCTCCAGCGGATTTTAACTCTCTAACACGTTGCCCTTTTAATTCACAGGCAGATTCTACCTTACTCTCTGAGCAGGCTGCCCCACACTGCTCCAAACTCCCCCGACTGCTGGCTCAGCGGGGTGGCTGAAGGCGTTCTGGGGAAGAAGCAGAGCCACAATTACAGAGCTTTATTCTCATATTAATAAAAAGCCCCAAAGCAGATGCCAATGACCACAATCTGGCACTGTGAGTCCCGGAGCCTCCTGCCCATAAATACAGCAAATGGTTTGATTTTGGCCACGGGGCTATCCCATACTGAGCACACCAAAGCACTGTCATCTCCAGCTTCATGATCCAGGAATCCTGGTGGCTTCATGACATCGGCAGCACAGACACGACTGGACCAGCAGCACCAGGGGGGATGGTGGGGTTCTCCCAGCCCCCTGTTCCCATGGCATGGATAACACCAGCCCGGGTTTAAATTACAGAGCAGGAAAGGGGTTAAAGTTTAAATGACTGTTTTGTATATGAATTAATGTAGGTAGCTTTGAGCCAAAATATCTACCATTAATTTTTCCACCTATTTCAGGAGCAGTAAGATACACAAAGTAAAGTTTATTTTGGTACTTGGTATACTTCACTCTCATTAAAAATAAATTAATCAGCAAATTCCTACACAGCTCAGTCTTCTTTTATGTAAATACAACCCAGCTGTAATGAATTACAAGGTGTTATTATCTCACACACACTGTATAATACTTCACACATAAGAGGTTTCTCTGCTTAGCTCAGCTTTCAACAAAAGCATCTTAAATAAACTGCAAGCAAGTTGTTTGGTCTGTAATGTTTTCACAGAGAAGGGATACACCTCACACATAGAGGGTTTCTTTACATGACTCATTTTATAACAAGTTAAACTGAGGAAGTTCGCCTCGGAAAAAAAATAACAAAATGCCTTTTTTATCCACAGAAGGCTCCCTAAGTGTAGATTTAAAAAAAAATATATATATGGAAGGCAGTGTTTGGGAATCGATAGTCTGCATCGCACTGCTCTTCACACGGGGAAGGGATGTCAAATACTCCCCCAAAAAATACACAATAAGAAGAAAGCAACTTCAGATGGAAGAACGGTCACAGCCAGGCACAGTCACACTTTCGCCAGATTAAGGAGTCACAAATTAAGGATTAATTTCACAAATTAAGGATTATCACCTTTGACTTTTGTTTAATGGTTTTATTAGGAATAAATCCTGATATTACAGGGCTCATTCTTATCAAAAGCACACGTGGCACAGAAAACACACACAATGTTACCCAGACTGACATTTATTATGGACTAGGATTTTAGACAGGAGAGAAATGAAAACTGCTTTTGTTACTGACCTGGAAACAGCCTGGTGAACCATCCACCCACACAGGGCACCTGGGCCTCTGCTGACCTCATCAGCGGAGCTCCTGCTCCCCTAATTACTGCCCTGGTGTCACCCTCTGCCCGGCCCTAGGCAGCTGCCAGCTGACAGGTCTGGTTAAAAAGCCCTGGAGTGCTCTGGGGGACACAGGACAGCATGGTCCTGTCCCACCGAGAGCCACGGGCAGAAAACAGGGATGTTCTAGTCATAAAGAAATTCTTACAGCACAACCCTAAAAAGAATATGGAAATATCAGCAAGGCAGACCAAAATAATACCCAGTGCTCTCAGGTAGCTTTTAGTGACAGCCCAGCCACCTTTTAGACTTTATTCTCATGAAAATGGCTAGAGCCATAGGGCTCAGTGGGGACTATGCATTACTCTTTGCATCCTCCTATCCCTGTGCAACAGAGCAGAGTTCCTAAAAAGGATTTTCACAGAAAACCCTTCTGTTAAAGCAATTCTTAACTCCACTAAAGCAAAAATGGACCGTTCCATCTTGATAACAGGCTTTTAAAATACATTAATACATTGAATACGCGAAGCTCAGATTTGCATTCACAACCCTTCAGCGAGCAGAGGAACACCGCTGGGTCTCTACACAGCAGCTCCAAACAAGGCAAAGGACAGAGATGTCTCCTCAAGATGACTTTAAGTCACGGTAAAATCTCTGGTTTCCTAAAGACAGAAGGCAGGTCTTTCAGTTTGTCAGCAAGGACCGCTCAGTGCCATGAAAAGAACAGAGGTTCTCAAACCAACTAGCGTTTATTTGCGGGTGAATATTCAGAAGAGTATGGCTGTCCAATTTGCTACTGAGTCACCACGGACAGGACATCTAATTAAATATTTTCTTTCCAACAGCAGATTTTTCCTTCCTGACCCCACAGCCTCAGCCCAGTTCAGTTCCAGGCACGCTCCCCAGGCTGATCTGACAAACTGATGGAGATGTCAGGCGCCAGCCCCCTCAGAGTCCTTCGTCGTTGTACACGGGGGAGCGGGGCTTGAGGATGCTGCGGGCATCGTTCTCCACCAGTGGCCTCCAGGTCACCTCGCCCGTCAGCAGCAGGTCCTCCCCGCTCAGCGCGTCCAGGTGCTGCACCTGCAAGGACAGGATGTTAGCACAAGGGGTCCCATCGCATGTTCAAGCTCCTCAAGAGCTAGTGCAAGGTGTCCCATCGCCCGTTTGGGTTCCTCAAAAGCTAGTGTAAGGGGTCTCATCGCCCATTCAAGCTCCTCAAAAGCTAGTGCAAGGGGGCCCATTGCCCAGTCAAGCTCTTCAAGAGCTCCACAAGCCAGAAAGCAAGCAGAACAGGGAGATTTTAGCATACTTTGCCATTTGTGTGAGGTAGACCTAAAAAGATAATTGAAGGCTCCTTAAGCGTCATGGGAAGGCTGGGAGATAAGGATCTGCAAATCCACTGGAGTTACCTGCGTAAGTTCTTCTACTACCACCTGAGCTAATGCTTCCTCTGAAAGTTTGGCAACAGGACAAAGAAGAGCCACGCAAAGCTAACGTGAGTCACTTTATCTTCCTGGCAGCTAACTCAGATGACACACTGTAGTACCATCATCCACACCAAGGGCCCTCATAGAAGTGGTTTCACATAGACCAAGGCTTTTCACTATAGAAAAAAAGCCTGACCAGCTGGGAGCATCTGAGATTGGTGATATAAAAGCACATGAGCTGGAGGAGATGAACATGGAATGAACCCTCATTCTCGCAATACAAGAAATATTTGGGATCAAATGAAATTGGGGAAGAGGAAGGAAAGAAGGAAAAGGTCCATCAAGGGTCAGTAAAAGACAAAAACCACCACCTCTGACTCAGGAAGTCTGTGAGCAAAGATTGCCAGGAGAGTTGACCAGGGAAATAGTACACATGCTTGCCCTGTTACTATATTCTCCTCTGGCATCCACTAATAGCCACTGTTAAAGACAGGATCAGCAAGAAATTGTGGGAAAGACCTCGTACACAATGTTCACTGGGAATAAAAGTTAATTTGACAAGGAGTTTCTCAACAGTGGAAAGAATTCACCGATGGCCACAGAGGGTCAGACCAAAGAGCCACCCAAGCACAGGATGCTGTTTCTGCCAGTCATCACCAGGAGATCTCCCAGGAGGAGTTAAGTACAATGCATGCATATAGTGTTATTTTCCTTGTTTACTTTCCCTCTCCCTCAAAATTTGCTAGTTCAGGGATTTGGAGCCTGAAGTGGTGGTTGTGGATTTAATAGCCCTGGATGGACTTCTCTTCCATAAACCTCGTCAGTGGCTTCGGGACCCAGGTGTGCAATTGTAGCATCCCAAACAGCCTGTGGCAACCTTATGTCCTCATGTTTTCCCACCAGGGAACAGCCTTCCCTTGCTCACCTCTCACACGCCTTCAAGATTTCCCAGAACTGTCTCATAGTCTCTCTCAGCTGTTTTTCAGGCAGGGAATCCTACTCACTGCTAACAAAGGAGCTCTTTCATGTCACCCTTACTGCTTTTCTCTGAGCCTTCTTCAGTTCAGTTTTTATCTTTCTTGAAGGTCAGAACCCAAACCATTCACGTTATTCAAGGTCACAAGGGTACCGTGGATTTCCAAAGCGGCACGACAACACTATTTCATTCTCTGCTCCTTCCTTAATAGTTCTGAGCGTTTGTTCTACTTTTTTTTTAAACACTACAGAGTGCTAAACTGACATTTTGATAATACAATTATAATCTCAAGGACTCACTCCCTCTGTGGTAACAGAATTAAGTTTAAAGCTCATCAATACATATGTAAAGCTGGGACTGTTTTCCAAGTGCAAAACCTCAGAGCTTTCTACAGGAGTGACCTGCCCTGGCAGAGCTGTGCCAATCCTTCCCTGTCACGCCACATTCATCGGTGTGACCACTGCTTCCTATCTGATGACTTCTGTCCTGTCCTTTGCTTGAATATACAACAAATTCCCCACTTGGCAGTAAATTGTTCCAAATCACATACTTTTTATATGTGCTTCCTCCCTGTCAATCTCCAGTTTTAAACTTTCCTGCAGCCTCACTGATGTTAAGCATTAACTCGAGTCTGTCCCTCCTGAGAAGCACTCCAGCATTGCAAAAGCACCCTCGGTCCCTTACGAAGGTCAGCCCTTTCCTTCCCACACCATTTTCTCAGACACACACTGAAATACTCCTCTCCAAATCTCTCTCTGGTCCTGAACATAGCACTGGAACCATTAGAGAATGCTGTTGTGGAGGTTCTGGTCTGCAATTCCCTGTCCAATAGGCTACACTCCTCCTCCAGGACCTCTCTTACTCCTTTTCTGCCTTTGGTCCCCACCTGGACTACATCCTACCAACAGTTCCCGGAAACCTGGTTCACAAACCTCCTAAAGGTTGGGAGGACAAACACTACTTGATATTATTTCCTCTGGGTAATTACTGAAAGAAACAGAAATAATTCTGGAAAACAAAATCTTTTACTTCTTTCCCTCAAAGATCATCAGGAGACTTTCAGCCTCTGTGTGTTATTTCATATGAAGAGGATCCCAACTCCACAACACCAAGTATAATTCTACAACAAGCTGCAGCCCATTTCTGACACATTTTGTCACTCCCCTCCATAGCACAGGTCCAGAAAAGCTGAGCAGAATTGCTTTCAATATTCCATTAATTTCTCTGCAGTCATTTTTCATCAAACTGCAATGAATATCAGCCAGTTTTTATCACTGAATATTAAAATCAGTTATATTTATGAGGAGAACTGAGGGAACTGAGCTATACAGTATGCAAGCAATAAAAATAAATATTTAATATTCTAAACAGGAGAAGGAAGGAGTCCCCCTGTGAGCTGCACTGTACCTGTTTGCGCACATACTCCACGAGTAGCTCCAGGTGCCGAGGGTCCTCACAGTTCCTGTTGAAAAGGTTTCTCCAAAGAGCTGCTGCCAGAACATGATCATCAGACAAGATTCCCTAAAGGAAGAGCAGAGGGGGATTAAAAACTGCACGTGAAGAGGGTCTGAACAGGGGACAAGCAGGTTACTCTGCAGGCAGCAATATGGGCTGGCTCAAAGCCCACAGTTGCCACGGACGGTACATATGAAAAGGCATCAACATCACTCTAAGCCCACAGTTGCCACGGATGGTACATATGAAAAGGCATCAACATCACTCTTTCCCAGAATGGAAAAACAACCCTGGCCTTTAATCAATTTACAGAGCAGCCTCTAACAAATATTCTGGCAAGTTAATTCAGAAAAAAAAATCAGGTCAGGGTATTCCTAATGTAGGAGCCAATAACTGCATTTCTATGTTATGAAATCTTTACCATAAAAATTTTAGCCTTACAGAGAAGACAACACAGAATTGTGTGAAGCCCATGGCACGTGGAAAAGAAAAATGAAAGGATATTTAATACAATGCTGCAGAAATGTAGTCAGGACTTTGCTATTTTGCTTTGCTTTTCTATTTTTTCATTCTAAATGAGAAAGAGTGGACTCTTCATCATCAAGAATTATCTAGATTTTTCCAGTTAAATCTAATATTAAATTTGGCTTATACCAGAATCACATCCATGAACACTTTTTATCTAAGTTCTCTTCCACTTGTATTGTCTTTTTAGATTATGCGGTGTTATCACCACATAACTCCTGCCTTCTGCTGACACGTTTGCCAACAGCAAGAGAGGACTTTAAAATATTCAGTTAAAAATAAAAAAGGTCAACATTTGTCTTTAATTTAACTAGACATGTTGTTTCCAAAAAGAGGAAAGAAAAAAAAAAATCCAGTCCCAGGCAGACACATCCTGGCTGTGCTTAAAACTAGATTAAAGACTTGCACACATAACACCATCCACAACTCTAAGAGGTTTACATTTACAAGATATTAATAACGCAAATCACCATGCGAAAAATAGTATCACCAGGTGATTAAGAAGAGCATCTGAACAACACCACCCACTAGAGCAAAAAAATAATTACTAAAAAGAGATGATGTAATTGTATTTTCTTCTTGAAATTCCTGCAGAGGCTTATGCACAGTGGTGCTTCTGCCTCCCCATAATATTAGACACTTCCCATAAACACCCTCTCACATAGACTCCCCATAAATACCCTGATTTCAAACTACAGCTGAGTTCAATGGGATTCAGAGGGAGGAAATGATTTATTGATGGTCGGTGAAGGTGAAGCAGTACAAAGAACGTCCCTCCTTCCTTGTCCCATGGTTTAACTCAATATGTTCCATGCTTTCTTTTTTCTTAAAAGCACTTTAATTCAAGGCATAAGATGATTGCAATAACTAAGACGTCTGCTTCCAGAACATAAAATTTCTCCAAAGACATGTACTGCAAATATTTTACCCATTTGAAGTATTCTGTGTTTATGAATTACATGGTCTGTTTATTCTTGCACATTCTCTGAAAACATCCCTCTTACCTCATCGTATCCAAATAGAGCTGCATAGAAATTTTCTACCATACTTCTCAAATCTTCCTTTAGAGCAACGGAATTAATCTGAAAAATAAAGCAGAAAACCATCAGTGCAGGCTCTAAAAGAGGTGGCAGTAAGAAAGCACCAGCAGTTTCAGTGCGAGCAGGCGAAGCAGCAGCAGCGGCCTGGCCCACAGAGGGGAGGGTCTGGCTGGAGCCCTGGCCCACAGAGGGGAGGGTCTGGCTGGAAGTAACGATGTGGGGGCAGTCAAACATTTCAGAACGATAAAGAAGATGCAATACAGCTCCTTAATTCTGTGAAGAAACCAAAGTCAGGGTTACTCAGAATACACGGATGGCAGAAAAATCCTCAGTGCTGACGTACAGTTACACAGGCAGAGAAACCACGCAGCTGGGGAAAAGAGGGAAGTAACGATGTGGGGGCAGTCAAACATTTCAGAACGATAAAGAAGATGCAATACAGCTCCTTAATTCTGTGAAGAAACCAAAGTCAGGGTTACTCAGAATACACGGATGGCAGAAAAATCCCCAGTGCTGACGTACAGCCACACGAGCAGAGAAACCACGCAGCTGGGGAAAAGAGGGACAGCATGGCTGTCCTGTCAGTGGCAGCAGAGGCCAGGGTAACGAAGGCGACTCTGTATTTCAATTATTAAGCAGGTTTTCCAGCCCTGGATTCATTCACACAGGTCTTTCAGAAACTCGGAGGTTTTTCAACAATTTTTCTGAAGCATGGACTCCGGGGGGACACGTGCTGCTAAAGCACTGTAACACTGGAGACAGAGGCACCATGGCTCCCACTGCTCCTTCTGTTCTTGTCACTGCTGACTCTCACGCAGGAATCACATCAATCCTGTCTCTACAGCATCTCACTAGAAGCTCAGACTTTACAAGTTTTTGACTATGACTAGATTTCTTTCTGAGTTTGTGATGACCCAGCTACTTCCCCCACTGCAGTAAGAGTGGCTCAGTCCGAGCGATGCACTGACTCTTAACTAAATTTAACAGTTGCTTAAATATTTGCTGGTTTGGCCTAAGCCACCCTTTGGCTTCCATAACTGACCCAGGTGAGGCTGAGAGGGAACCAGAAGAGATGCCAGAGCGATGGCTGAAACATCTCGTGAGTTCCTCCCTCATAAAACTGCCCATTCCTTTGGCCTGTACTTTTTACTTCTATCAACAAAATGATTTAATAAATGGTTCTTCTCCCAAGAGCTAAGCTCCGCTCCAACTGGGGAAGCTGCTGCTTTGGATTGACTCTCAGAATCATAGAATTGTCCAGGTGGGAAGGGACCTTTCAGATCATCGAGACCAACCATCAACCTAACTCTGATAAAAACCATCACTAAACCATGTCTCCAAGCACTATGTCAGCCTGTCTTTTAAATCCCTCCAGGGATAGTGCCTGAACCCCTTCCCTGGGCAGCCCATTCCAAGGCTTCATAACCCTTTCCATGTAAAAATTGTTCCTAATCTCCAATCTGAACCTCCCCTGGTGCAACTTGAGGCTGTTCCCTCTTGTCCCATCACCTGTTCCCTGGGAGAAGAGACCGACCCTCCCTGGCTACACCCTCCTTTCAGGGAGTTGGAGAGAGGGAGAAGGTCTCCCCTCAGCCTCCTTTTCTCCAGGCTGAACACCCCCAGCTCCTTCAGCTTCTCCTCACAAGACGTCTTCTCCAGACCCCTCACCAGCTCCGTTGCCCTTCTCTGGACCCGCTCCAGCACCTCAATGTCTTTTTTGTGGTGAGGGGCCCAAAACTGGACCCAGCCCTCGAGGGGGGGCCTCACCAGTGCCCAGTACAGGGGGATGGTCACTGCCCCAGTCCTGCTGGCCACACTGTTCCTGACACGGGCTAGGATTCTGGTGGCCTTCTTGGCCACCTGGGCACACTGCTGGCTCCTGTTCAGCCGACAGTTGACCAACACCCCCAGGTCCTTCTCTGCCAGGCAGCTCCAGCCACTCTGCCCCCAGCCTGGAGCGTCCATGAGGTTGGTGTGACCCAAAACATCAGATCTCTCATGATATCATGAGAGATCTGAAATCCCAAGCATTTCTTCTCTCCAGATCACACACACAACCCCAGTATAAATGACTGGGATAATTCTCTCCGTCCCCGCACACCAGCAGAGCGCTGAGGAGACACTGCATCTTGGAGACAGGATTTACAAAAAAGAGAGTAAAACCAGGATCAGGGGGCAAGCCCCCAGCTCTTCCAGTGACCAAGCAGGGCTGTCTCTGATGTACAGCTCATTGCAAGGCTGACAGAAAGCTGTGAAAACTCATCTACCTCAAATCTGAATACTTACGACATTGCAAACCATGCATCCTAAACGCTTCTTAGTATCCTTAAGAGTACCCACTCTTTTTTCTTCTAATTATACAACAGCTTTTCTATCACAATATGAATTAAGTTTTTGCCAGGCCAGCAAATCTCCAGTTTAAATATTCTTCCATTAAACCACTATCTTTTTTCATCTGTTGATCTTTATAGAAACGCATAGAGTGAAAACACAAGGAAAATTCCTTTTATGTCAGTTACTCATATTTTTCCATTAATATAAACTATTAAAATTCATGCAGATATTTTATAGGCTATCAAGATTTGGAGACTGGTTATTACTGAATGTTTAAAAAAAGAACTAAACATAAGAAATCAGAGGGTTAAATGATGACTGCAACTTCTGTAATGACTTAATTAAATTTTTATTGAGTACATAAACTATGATGTCATTTCTACCCAACCATGCTCAAACTTTCTGTGCATGTCAGAGATCGTGGTTTTTCTCAATAGAACGTACTTCTAAATAAGCTGCACTTCTACAGCTCTAATAAGGGGGAGCAGGTCTCATGTAACACACTCAATAAATTATCCTTCCATTTTAAACAAACAAATTCCATGAGTTATTATATATTTGCCACGCACTTTTTATGACATAATAAAAATGTTACCTCAAGGATTACTTAACACATACTACAAATGTTACAGCAGGCAACTGCAAGGGGCAAAGAAAACAAATAGTCCCATTACAGAGACAAGTCCTGGACTATACATCCCTAGGGAAGCAGCTTTCTATACTGAAAACAAAAAGCAGCAGCTTTAAGTTTGCAAGAAATAGATTGATGAAGGAGATAACCAAGTTAAACAAACAAGGCAATAAATACATCTTAAAAGACAAACAGTTTAAAATATAAAATATGACTTTGGGAATGGAGCAGTATCTTAGGCAATAAAATTACATTTAAAGGAATATTGCCGTTTCTGAAGAATACAATCAGCATTGGTTAAGTACAAACACTGTAGGAAAAAAACCTTTATAAAACAAGAAAAATGAGTATTTCCCAATCAGCAGTTGTTGGAAACACTTCCTCTTTTTAAGCTTGTAGATGTTCTTACCACTGGCAAGTTTCATGACCTGCTTGGTCAAGATTCTGCTGCCTCTTCCACAGTTTGTTACTGAGGAGAAAAACTGCCAGACAATTCCAAGTGAGTAATTGCTAATAACGAGAAAAAAAAATCAGTAACATCTGGAGCTCTGCTAGGGACTTAGCCCCTTTGCCTTCTTTGGAACAACCCATTGCAGACCTGTCACCAGAATAAATTTATATCCTATCGCCTGAAGCGACAGACAGAACTATCTTAGTTCAAAACATGGAATACGTTTCTGGTACATCTCTCACATTGACAAGACCTTTTAAAAAAGGAACTGTTCAGCCAACACACCTTCCTACCATGTCACAACTTTGCATTGAAACACTCCATGATCCCACATTGTGCCTGCAAGAAAACTACAGCATTCCACTACTGCACTTGCGTTATTTAATTGCAGAAACCTCGTCTTCAGCCTCAACAAGTTCAAGATGCACCATTCAACAGCCCCCCGGAAAGGCTTTCTGCTCTATCAGACAATTCACAACATCAAATGATAGAACCATAGAATGGTTTGGGTTGGAAGGGACCTTAAAGACCATCTCATTCCAACCCCCTGCCCTGGGCAAGGACACCTCCTACCACACCAGGTTAATCTCAGTGAAAGTTTTGTATTCTAACAAAATTTCTAGGAAAGTAAGAGCACAGTGTTTTATTGTCTATGCTGGACATGTATGAAGACATCTTATGTATGGGCACAGCTTTTAAAGTGAAAGCTGTTATAGGGTTAGTCCAAATTAACGTCTTTTGTTGGATGGAGAGCATTCTTTTGTAGTGAGTCCCCCCGACTCACCCCACTGTGGGTTACGCTGCAGAGGAGTCTCAGGGTGCACAGACTGGGGAAGGTGCTGCGGTGTCCATGGGCTACATGATTTGAAAGCACTTTTAACTGGAGTTTCTTTCTGTTACGGCTTTTACCAGCATGTGTTGCACCCTTAAGCTACTTTAACACATTAATCCATCCATAAACTATAAAGCCAGAAGGGACACTTCCAACTGCACCTTGTACAAGCGCTAGTCATTGAGTTTCATGCAGCAATTCCTCTCTTTAGGCCATAAGTTATGGTTGAAGTACATTTTTTTATGAAGATATTTCAGCCAGAAGAAATGATTAGATCATAGAACCTGACCCTCTGCATATCACAGACCATTACATTTCCCTGGGTTCCCTCTGTACTAAGCTCAGTAAGTTGTGTTTGGCTAAAGCATATCACCCGCACAGTCGAACATGTGTATCTCATTTCATATTTGAATTTTCTGGCTTAAGTTTCTACCCCCTTATTCTCGTTATACCATTCCTGCTAGAAAAAAAAGCCTCGCCTGTCGAATGTGTTTGCTTCTGTACCTGTACCCAGTCGATGTGTCAGCGCCATCATCTCCCCAAGCCCAGATCAGGCTCTTTAAGGGCAGGTTTACAGCGGGTGTGCTGATACACCACATCACCAGCACGCTCCTGGAGTGCTCACAGCCATAACAGCAAAGCAGTGGTTTATGCCCATACAGTAAAAATTAATTCAACTCTTGTGCAAAACAAGTTAATGCAGGTGTGAGCACACGCATGTGGTTAGGAGTGAGCCCACTCTGGGGACTCGTGTCAGCCACGCTGAGCGGCCATCAGCCCACTCCCAGGGACAC